GAGGGGGTGGGGTGGATGTGCACCATACCACTCTGCTATGTGGAGAATCCCTGGAAAAGGTGGTGGTAAAGTCTAGGACTACATCCTGTTCTCTGTGGAGACCCCTCCGAGGTCTCCAGGAGCGGCTGTGGCTGGGGTGTAACAAGATCTGCTGACACATCTTGTCTAGTATTGTTTCGGACTGAGCTGGACTTAGAACAATCTTGCCCTCAGTTACACTGAAGTCAAAGGAGCCGCACAGCTCTACCAGGGCAGGGGTCAGACTCCCAGCTTTGAAGGCCGAGCATCACCTAATGTGCTTTTAGCCTCCGATTGCCAGGAGCTCATTTCCAGTTGCTGTCGCTTCAGCCTCCCCTGCGAGTCACTGAGCTGCATGGTTCCCCTTGCAGGCCCGGTCCTTATCTCGCCCTCATATTTCCCTTTAATCTCAGTCTGGACTTTTCACCCTTTTGCAGGGAGCGCATGTGGCTGGCGCAGCTTCCCAGCAGGAGAAGATAAAAAACGGGTTTCCAAGCACATGAATTATTTTTGCCTGATCGCAGACTGAATCAGGGCTGAGAAAAATGAAAAAAACCAGTAACCCAGGATCAGACATTCTGGGACTCCATCTGCAATGCAATCCAATGGGCCCACCGTTCTGGGGCTGGGGCTTGCTGCTGGGCTGTGGTCTGGCCCATCTTTAGCGCTCACATTTAGCTAAACTATTTTTAGTAGCAGGACAGAGTTACTGCTCAGGCCGAAGCTGAGCCCTTTGGAAAATCCCACCTTAAGCAAATAAATAATTGCATTTCCACAGCATCTCTGGGACGCTCAAAGCCCTGTGCAAACATAGGTGAGTTAAGACACCTTTGAGAAGAACCTCGTTTATGTGGAGGAGGGGAGAGAAGCAGCAGCATCCAGTGGATAGAACAATGGACTAAAAATTAGGAGGGCAAGTCACTGACCATTTCTGTGCCTCAGTTTCCCCACCTGGAAAGTGGTGGCAATATTTAGTAAAACGCTTGAGAACCTTTGATAAAAGGGGCTCTAAAAGTTATTATTGTATATTATTGTTGTTGTTATCCTTTTAACCCTCCTTCACCCCTACAGATCTTGGGACCCGGTCCTGTACTTGCAAAAAAAATCCACGTTTACCATTGTACTTGGGAGAAACCCTGTTCGTCCATCAGTCCAGGGTTTTATATCACTCTCTGCCCTGATCCTATCCTACCGGCTGGACCTTCAAACACGCAAATAACCATCTGTTCAGCTGGAGGCAGGAGGGCGAGAAACAGCTCTGTGTTCTTTGCTGCTGCTTTATTCTGCTTTTAAGCAGGCTCAGCAGGGTTTGAGTTCTATTTTCCACTTTTTTGGGGGTCTTGTTTATTTTTTAGAGTCAAATGTCAGGCCTGGTCCATTTGGCAGGATGCTGTGGGCCATGGGAGAACTGGGAGGGTTATAACATCACAGACAACAAGAGATCATGCGGGCGGGGGGGGTGGGGTGGGAGGGAAGGGGAACAGTCTTTGCACATTACGCTACAGCAGACAGAGGAGTGGCTGCTACAGAGCCTGCTCCCACGCTGGAAGTGGTCACTGCACGCACCAGCTCTTGAAGGGCATATGGGAGTGTCCGTTCCACGTAACCTCAGATGGGATCGGAACCATCATGGTTTTTAATATTCCACTGAGGATCTAAATTTCCATTCCTGGATTACAATCTCCAGCGTATTACATGTTCATCTTACCTACACTGCCTATATCCATATCAATGGCACCGCTTTTCCATTCTGGGCCCAAGAATGATGTACACCTCTACCCCTATATAACGCTGTCCTCGGGGGCCAAAAAATCTTACCGCGTTATAGGTGAAACCGCATTATATCGAACTTGCTTTGATCCGCCGGAGTGTGCAGCCCTGCCCCCCTGGAGCGCTGCTTTACCGCGTTATATCCGAATTCGTGTTATATCGGGTCGCGTTATATCGGGGTAGAGGTGTATTAGTATTTAGTATTATGGTAGCACTTAGGACCCCCAATCATGGGCCAGGACCAGAGTTGAAAGTAAGCTGGTCCGGTCTGATCCGGCATACTGGCAAGAGCCGGTACACAGACGACCATACCGGCAGCGGGCAGCTTCCCCAGGCCGGTGATTTAAAGAGCCCGGGACCCCCGGCAGCGGCCGGAGCCCCAGGCTCTTTAAATCACTGTCAGAGCCCTGCTGCTGGAGCCCCGGGGCTCCGGTGGCAATTTAAAGGGCCCACGGATTTAAAGGCCCCACCCCTTCCAGGTGAGGCCCCGCCCCCCTGCTTAGGACTCTGGCATGCTGGTAAGTCCTTTAAGTTACTTTCACCCCTGGCCAGGACCCCACGGTACTAGGCGTTGTACAAAGACAGACCAAAATGTCAGTCTCTGCCCAAGAAGCTTCCAATCAAAGCCCACTTCTGTTCCAGCTGAAGTAAATAGGCGTTTTGCCCCTGCGTTTGATAAGAGCAGATGCAGGCTCAGTGTCGGAGATGGGAATCTCCTTGCTTCTCTCATTTGAATAATTGCAATGGATTTAGAAAAAAATCGCCGGGACTTGATGAAAAGAATAATTGAATATCTGTGATGGCAATGATGTGATCCAATGGTTGGAAACCAAAGCTGGACAAAATCAGACTAGAAATAAGTGCAGGTTTTTAACAGGAAGAGTAAAATTAACCATTGGAACAATTTACCTAAGGATGTGGGGGATCAGCCTCCACTCGCAGTCTTACATCAAGACTGGCTGTCTTTCTAAAAGGTCTGCTCTAGCTCAACCACAAGCTATGGGCCTGATGCCGAAATTACTGGGTGAGGAGCTTTGACCTGTGTTACGCTGGAGACAGATCAGATGATCATAATTGTCCCTCCTGGCCTTCCAATCTCTGACACTAAAAAAAGGGAGGAAATGCCAGTGTTCTGCACTGTCTGCGCCAAAATGACAAAGGTCTCCAGTGTGGTTTTGTCTTTCAAATGTGAGTAAGAAATCAACAGCAGGGCTGTGCTGTGCTGGGAACAAGCTGTCCCCCAAATCAGCATTCTGGGGCGAAACCATTTTGTAGATGGCAGAGTGCTACAAGAGAGAGAGAGAAATCCACACCGATTTAGTGCTCATATAATAAAAATGTATGGATGGTTTATAATATAATATAATATAATATAATATAATATAATATAATATAATA